TTCAATCCAAAATAAACAAGCATATCAAGAAACAAGACCAAAGGCAAAAAGAGACAACAGAAACAGATCCAGAGATAATAAAATATTATAGTTAACAAACATGAATGTTTTAAAAAATGTAACATATTCAAAAAAATTAGAACAAAATGGAAAATTTTACCAAAAAATTGAAATTTGTAAAAGAGAATCAAATGGAAATTCTAGATTGGAAAAATACAATAACTGGAATTCAAAACTCAAAGATGAGTTTAATGGCAGAATGGACAGAGCTAAAATAAGATTAGTGAACTACACGACTGTATTGGAAAACATACTTGCTTAAAAATGAAGAGACAAGAATAGAAAATACCAAAAACAAACAAACAATATATGAAACATATCAAAGCCTAACATATAAGTACTCCCAATGCCAGAGGGGAGAAGGGAAAAAGTGTTGTAAAAGCAATATGTTAAAAAATAGCTGAAGATTTCCCAACTAATGAAAAAATATCAAGCCACAGCAAGGACAGCAAATACAAAGAAAAGCACAATTAGACACACCGTCGTCAAACTACAGAAAAGCAAAGACAAATAATTTGTATTTCTTAATCCCTTTTACCTTTTCCACCCATCCCTCTACCACCTAGCCCCATCTGGTGACCATCAATTTGTTCTCTGTTATCTATGAGTAAAAATAGTCACGGGAATGTAAAGTGCAGCATAGGGAATATAATCAGTAATATCATAATAACTATATATGGTGTCAGATGAGTACTAGACTTACCAGGTAATGACTTCGTAAGGTATGCAAGTGTCTAATCTACTGATTAGTTCTACACTGGCAACTAATATAAAATTGTAAGCCAAGTGTAATTGAAAAATAAATTTAAAACAAAAGAGTTTCTGGCTTTCTGGCCTAAGAGTGTTAACCAGCTTCCACTGATAAAGCTGTAGAAGATGGTGGTAGAAAACAACACTTCACCAGCTAAAGTGCCAAAGATCGTAGTTCAGGGATAGGAAAGCAGTGAGAAATCTAAAGGAGAAATTCTGACAGTGAGAGAACTACAGAAGGAATATGAAATTCTGTATAAACTGCCCAAATTCCTGATGATGATAAACCACACATAAGGAGGGGAGATATGAGGAAGGTGGGTAAGAGTTGTAGAAAAGTAATCAAAGACCAGAAAGAAAAATAGACTATGGGGACCAAATCTATGAGTCCGCTGTTTTATTTTGTTAATTCATTGAATTCCTCAACCATGCACAGTTTAGGCAACAAAAACCTGAAGCTTTGTGGGCTTGAAGTTTCAACAGAACCAGAGGAACCAGTAAACAGAGGAGCCTGGAAACAAGAAATACTCAGAAACAAGTAAACAACATGGAGGGTGAGCTCCATCTTGAATGAAATTCTTGATGACTGCCAAATATACCATTGCCGGGTTCCTATATTTTATCAGATATTACTTAATATTAACCTCAAATAGATTTAATCCCAAAAGGAACTATTAAAAATAATGCCAAGAGTTATATCTAGAAAGTCAATTAAGAAGATAAAAGGAAATACCAAAAAATATTTGATTAACTCAAAAGAAGGCAGAAAGGAGGAACAGAGAAACAAAAAATAAATAACACAAATAAAAAGCCAATAGCAAAATGACAGGCCTAAATACAACCATATCGGTAATTACATTAAATGTAAATCAACTATGCACTTCAAGCTAAAGGCAGAGATTGTCAAACTGAATGACAAAGTGAGAACCCACTTTATGCCATCTATCAGACATGCATTTAAATACAAAAACTCAAATAGTTTGAAAGTAAATAGGTAGAAAAATACCCATATACAAAGTGAACAGTAACACATAAAGCTGGAGTGGCTATATTAATGCAAAAAAATGTTAAAAAATTGCTGTCAAACAAAAAATAGGTCAAAGAGTATTACCAGTGACAAAGAGGGATACTTCACAATGATCAATTTAAAAAGAGGATAAAATAATCCCATGTGTGTATGTACCTAATAGAGCTTTAAAATTCATGAAGCATAAACTTAAAAAGTTGAAAGAAAAAAAACAGACAAATCTACAATTATGCTTTAAAAATTCACTACTCTCTCAATAACATGTAGATAAAAAAATCAGAAAGATATAGAAGATTTCTATGACAATATAAACAACCTTAACCTAATTAATATTTATAAAATATACACTCAACAAATACACATTTTTTTCAGGTGATAAAATAAATCTTAACACAGTATGTTCCCTGACCACAAAGGAGTTAATTAGAAATAAACAATAAAATATTTAGGCAAGCCCCAAAGATCTGTATATTAAATGACTCACTTCTAAATAATGCATGAATGAAAGAAGAAATCACAAAGAAAATTAGAAACTATTCTGACTTAACTGATAATGAAAATAAGTATAAACCTAAAATAATGCAGAGTGGGAAATTTATAGCCAATGATCTAAATTTTCACCTTAGAACACTAGAAAAAGAAGAGTAAATTAAACCCAAAGTAGAAAAATTAAATTTCATAAAAACTTTAAACTTTTATTCTTCAGGACACATCATTAAAAAATAATAAAGCAAGCCACAGAATGAGAGAAAATGTTTACAATATACATATTTGACAAAGGACTTGTAAGCGCATGTATAAAGAACTCTTACTACGTAAGAATAAGACAAACAACCTAATTTAAAAATGGGTAAAATATGTAAAAAGATATTTAACAAAAGGTACATGAATGGCCAGTACATATATGAAACTATGCTCCTTGTCATTAGTCATCAAGGAATGAAAATTAAAAATTAAATGGACTAAATAGATCCAAAAAACAGGAAAGACTGAAACAACAACAACAAAACTGTGTATTACTTATAAGAGACACACACATAAGGAAACAGAAAGCTTGAAAATAAAAGAATGGAAAAGATATACCACACAAGCACTAACCAAAAGAAAGCTGTCATAACATTATTAATAAAGAAAAAAGTGAACTTAGGCAAAAAGCATTTGTAGAGACAAAGAGGGATTTCATATTGATAAAAGGATCAATCACCAGTAAGATCTAACAATCCTACATAAGTATGCTAAAAATAGTATTGATATGTACAAAGCAAAAACTAATAGAACTAGAAGGCAAAAGAGAAAAATCCACAACCATGAGACTAACAAACCCCTTTTGATAACTAGAAAACAAAGGTGCCCACCATTAACATTGTATTGAAGTTTTTGGCCATTACAATAAGGCAAAGAAAAGAAAATCTATGGATTAGAAGAAATAAAACTGTCATTATTCACAGATGACTCTGAATAATGTGTGTATATATATACACATGTAATGGTATATATAAAATCTAAAAGAATCTACACATTATTAGAATTAAGTGAAGTTAGCAAATTATCTGGATATAAGGTCAATTATAAAAACAAACTATTTCTATATATCAGAAACCTTAGTTTTTAAATGACACTATTCATAACAACATCAAAAATGTTACTCAGCAATAAACCTAAGAAAAGATGTGTAATTCCTATATACAAAAAAAATCTCATAATATCACTGAGAGAAATTAGAGAACATCTAAATAAATGGACAAATATATCATTAATGGATTGGAAGACTCAATATTGTTGACACTAGTCAACTATCCCCAAATTGATTTATATTTAACACACCAACTCCAATCAAAATCCTAGGCATGTTTTTGTACAGATGTGTAATTTGATAGGCTGATTATGAAATTTATATGGAAAAGCAAAGGACCAAGAATAGCAAGTCAATCATGCAGAACAACACTGGAGGACAGAAGCTCTCAGATATCAAGACTTACTACAAAGCAAGTGATGATGTGGTATTGGCTCAAAAATATACAACAGACTAATGGAATAAAAGAGGGAGTCCAGAAACAGACTTCCATGTAGCCTCCTATATTTATGACAGAGACACTGAAGTAGTCAATGTAGAAAGACAATGTAGGAAAACAATGATACTTCAATAAACAGTACTGAGTTCATTAGATATCCATATGGAAAAAAAAATTATCTTGACCTCTTTCATGTTACATATAACAAAGATAACAAAACAATAAAGCTTCTTGGAAATAAAACAGGAACAATTTATTGAGATAGCAAAGATTTCTTAACCAGAACACATTTACCTAAAAGAAAAATTTCATAAATTTCAAATTTTAATGCAGTACATTAAAGTAGGAAATAAGTGGACCATTATTTGGAAACCGCTTATCTATGCAGTCTGATAATTCACTTAATTCTCCATACGTAATAGTCAAAGAACTGGTTTTGCTTTTGTGAATGAGTAATATCTTGATTTATAAAATTAAATCCATAAAACTCATAATGAAAATTTCTAATAATAGCGATTTTTAATAGTTAGGACTTTTAATAACCATTGAAAACTAAACAAAGAATCAAATGTGATTTGAACTTAATGTTAAGCGGCACTGTTTTCACTTATTTTTAAAAATCCAGTTTCATGTCTAATGTTAAATACAAATAATAATAATAGTTATCACAGGTGATTAAAAATAGCAGACAGGCACAAATGCCCGGTTAAGCAGACATGAACAAAGCCAACTTAAATTGGGTAAACACCCAGAGTTACTTTGTGGCTCGCAAAACTAAGCCATCTGCTGCAACAAAAATAATGTGAAAGAGGAATAAGCCTGCTCTTCTACCATTTATTCTAATGTAAAAATTCCATTTGCTCAGTCAAGATCCTAGCTACAATATGATAAACCTTTCTCCAAATCGGGGAAAAAACAGCTACACATCATCTTATTTACTCAAAAAGCCTCCTTAGATCAGCAAAACAAAGCAGAGTAGTAAAATAAAGAGAGCATTAGTTTCCAGAGGGCACAGATTTAAAAATAGCATTAATGAAAAATTACATATAGTCCAACTCTCATTCTCTGTCCATGTCAAACTTCATTAAGACAATGCACATTTATCTTTTACTATGTGAAGGACACTGTGCATCATCAACAAAACATTTTACCTTTGCCACTAGCTGTAGTCCAATTTTGTCAGCTTCAGCCTCCAATGTTCTACTGTATGGTCTCTTAAACATATACTAGGAAGAAATAGAAAAAAATTTGCATTAAGATTATTTCTTAACAAAATGAGATTTTAAATATTAATTTCAAAGAGTTTCTAGGATAAAGTTTTTATACTCTCCATTATTAACATTTAAAGAACACTGTGGTATAAAACATAAACTGTAGGCTTTATTTCTTCCACCAAAGAGTAATATTTTTTAAACAGAAAGAATAGGAAAAAAATCTTGCCTACAAACTTCTGGAGAGTTTATAGTACCATATAGAGTACTTCTACTTTTCTAACTATAATCTCTACCCACTACATAGAAGATTCCCCCAAGAAAGCTTATCAATACTGTCTTTTATTATGGCCAAGGAACATTCTGATCTTGCAGTTTTAAAATAAAATTGAAAAAACATGGCTATATAATAGCCAGTGACACTACTAGAAGATTTATTTCAGTTGGAAAATTAACCATATTGCAGAATGTTCTTTCTTTGATAAATTATCTTAATTTCCCTTTTTTCTAAGTATTGATTAGTTAGGAAAATGAAATTTTCTTCCAACTTCAATAAAAAAATGCAAATAGATATTGTAACTTTAATTTTCCTGATTACTTATATTTATGTGAATGCTTTCCAGTTAAATTCTAATTTTCAGTAAGTACTAAAACTTTGCAGGAGATGGATCAATAGGCAGGACTTTTGAGAAAAGAGCTATTTAATTTATTGGAGAAGCAGTTTTTCAGAGGTGGCTACATGTCAGTGATGGCTAGAAATAATATAATCAATCTGATCCACAGTATGTGACCATTAGATATAACTTTCTTCCTCCTTGATCATGTCTGTTTTAGGTTGCTGAACTATATTACGTACTGTCTTCACTCTCTGTGACTCATCTATCTACAGGTGTCCCATCAAGTCTGTTGATAGTATAACTAATTAAAAACATTGCTTTAAAAGGAGACAAATTTGTGTTCAAATCCAAATGCTGACACTTTTTAACTATTAACCCTAGGCTAATTGTTTAACCCATCTAAGTCTGGTAGTTCCACATGTAAAATGGAGTACTAACAGTACAAGCCTCCTAGAGTTGCAGAGCGAATAAAATGAGCAAACAATAATAGGTCCTATTTATTGAATCCTTGCATTGTGCCAGGTACTGTGCTAACTGCTCTAAATCAGTGGTTCTCAAAAGGATGTCACTGTGTCCTCCAGGAACACTGAAAATACCTGGAGATATTTTTGATTGTCTGAGGGAGCGGGATGGAGGTGGAGGACGGGAGAGTGCTACTAGCATCTGTTGGGTAGAGGCTAGATGTTTAGAGGCAGCTGGATGTTTAGAGGCTACTAAACATCCTGCAATGCACAGGACAACTCTCTACATAAAGAATTATCTAATCCAAAATGTCAACAGTGCTTACATTGAGAAATCCTGCTTCGAATGTATCATTCATTTCACAACAATGCTTTGAGTTAGCTACTCTAATTATCTCAATTTACAAATGAAGAAACTGAGATCTACATAAGTGAAGTAACCTGTCCAGATTCTATAGAATTTAGGTACAAAGGAGCCTAAATTCAAACACAAGTTCATCTGATCAGAGCATATATTCTTAACCCCTGCACATAATTAATCTATAGTGTTTATTCTAGTGTCTGATATATGGTAAACACTCAATAAATGTAAGCTACTATAATTATTACTAATAGCTCTCAAAATCCTGTCTGGCAGAATTCTATGAGGGCTGCTACATTATGCCCAAATCTTTAAGATTATAAAAATAGGACTCCCCAATGGTTAAGTGAGTGCCCCAACTTCTTTCTTCTCTTTTCTCTGACAAATAAATGTCAGCAGCTCCCCTCCTTAATGACTTCACTAACTGTATTCCTCTCTGTTCACCAATCCCAATGAGCAAGGCTTTCTAAAAAGGTATATTTTCCTTGTCATCAAAATGTTGGGGGGGTCTTGATTTAGGGAAACAGTTCAAACAGAAGTAATTCCTATTTTATTTTCAGTTTAATATTAAAGAATTATTCTGAAGTAGCAGGACTCATCAAGTATTTTAAGAAACAGCTACAAGTCATTTGTCTTATGACTAAATATTCTGATTCCATTACAGAAAAAGCTATCTATTGACAGATGAAAAAAAAAAAAAAACTACATTAACTCCTTTGACTTTCCCAGCACATCATGACAGAAATAAAATTCAAAATATGAGATCCTATAACCTAAGCAATAACCATTCCTTCTTTTTCTTTTAAAGAACCTTTATTTCAATATAAATGAAGCCAAATGATGTGGTAACACTGAATAAAAGCCTTACTTATTCAATTTTGAAAGCAATTTGTCTCAAAGAATTTTACACATTAGATTTAAACAGCAACCAGATGGCACTCTTATGGGTGCTCCACAAATCATTAAATAAACAAATAACAGATTGTTCCTAAATAACCAAACCTCCCAGGACAAGAGGAAATATTTGGAAAAAAAGATGTAAAATAAAATAATTAATCATAGTTAACAAAGCAATTATCAAGATCTCAAGACCTACTTTCAGTACTCCAGTGTTTTGAACAAAAGGAAAGACTCAATAAATTTTGAAATGATTATCATTATACATAAGTACTAAAAACAAAAGTTAACATAACACCTAGGAAGACTGTCCTTTCAATATCTTTCAGGCAATGTTGGTTTAACTAGGAGTGAAGAGGTGAGGGTGGTAAAGCAGCTTCAGCCACCCCTGAGACCATAAAAGCTATCAGGTTTTAAGGTGCAAATATTTAGGGGAAGGGAGAATCATCCAGTCAGTACACCATAGTCACAATGAAAGACAAAAGTAGCAAGTCTGAAGGTAAAATGACAGAAGAAAAGGGTCTGTTACTGGATTTCCTCTTTAAGACCCATAACTATACCCCACCCCCAAAAAATTATGTTAGCCAAAAGTTGCTAAGCCCTTCTAACCCATTTATCTCCATCATTTGAGAAATGTAGTATTTCCTAATTTGAATATTCATTAGTAAGAATATTCCCTAAAAACGAGAAAACATAAGAAACTAAAAATTAGTACCTATATTTCATAATAACGTGTGAAAATATCTCTGGTATTTGTTGCTTTACGGTAATATTAAAATATCTTCACCACAGGCCATTACAAATTCAAGTTACTGTCTCAGACTTACCTCCTGAAATTTAGACTGTATCCACTGGCCCAGAAGTGCCAAACTATCTCGAGGAGAAATGGCCCAAATCATTGTGAGAAAAATCAGACCTAGGAGATCCAATAAATGAACTAGGCTGGCCTTTTCTGCCTGAGAATAATCAAAATAATGAAAATTACATTTAATAAATTGAGACAGTATATGCTTACATTTTCGTTGTGTGTAATCACACTAAATAACTACTTGTGTTTAACTGACCTTCACCAACTAAGTCATTTGAGATGACTTTTACTTTATCCTTTCTCAGTCTGTTTGTCTCATCCTTTGCTTATATACTTACATTATATATTCATTCATTCATTAACACTTGATTCACTTACCATCACTTAGATACAATGACGAGTTCATTAATCTCTAGTTTCTTATATTAACAAGCATAATAATCTTGTGAAAAAGGTATAATTATCCCTATTTTATAGATAAAGAAACTAACATGGAAACAGGTTAAAAGAGTTGCCCGAATTCACACTACCTAACATGTGAAGCAGTTAAAGAACAATTCAGAAAAAAATTAGAAGTCTATTTTAAATAAAAATGTTTTGGCCTTCATTACCTAATATATGAAGTATGATTTATTTATGTGAGTTTGCAATTTTATTAAGCCTAGTTTTTCTCACCAGGAATTGGGTTCTATGAATTTTTGTATGTACTTAGAGCAATAATCAAAATAGATTTTGTTTAAAATAGTTGTTTTGAGTAATAGTAATATCTAAATATAAGTTTAATGCACTAGATTGTTCATTGTTCACCATTAAGGTTGATTATACATGTTAACATAATGCTAGTACTAATAACATAGGAAGCATTACTTCAATGTATGAAACATGGCTGACAACTAAAAATAACCATCTAGAATACTGCTCTTTACAATATAACCTGCCCTCATGAAGAATTCTTTGCTTCATTATAAGAACTGTGGGTTATGAAAAACAATTATGAAATTATTTTAGCATAAAAGAGTAAAACCCAAATGATGAAGTCATTCTAGATGAGATAAATCCTTGTTATTATTGAAGAATATAATTGTTATTATACAGCAAAATCTGTATTTGTGGAATAAAGAAAACAACATAAAAGACTCCATCAAATCGAAATAGAGACTCCTAAAAGAGAAAACAGTATTGATAATGTCTAAGAACTCTACCAAAGAAATTTAATAACTATTTTCTATTATTAAGGCTGCTATTTGCTTTTTATATCTCATCTAATTATTGTTCTTGCACTGAAAAGGATGACAATATGTTGAATGAGGCATTGAATGAAGTGCCAGAAAAACAAATGTACTTAAATATTAACACCTTTTAAATGCTAAAAATGGCCAAAATTGATTAGTTTTGCAGTTACGAAGCTATTTCTTGAAAGATAAAATCTATTTTAACTGCTCAGATTTATTATTTTATATACTTGATTAAAGAAAATATTTTTAAAATTTTCCTATCTGTGCTACTGAAAAGCACAACTTTGGCCCACATCATCTTATTAATACTCTAAGAAATAGAATTTGAGATGACTTTTAGAGGAATTAATATGACATTATCATTTCAATTTAAATCAATGTTACTTGCATTTCTACATAGCATTTCACAAGCCTTTCACTATTTACTTTGATGTTTTCAATTAAAGAAAATATACCTCTAATTATGTGGAGAAAAGAGCCATGCATATATTTTTTTTAATTTTATTAAAGTTGACATACAATATTATATTAGTTTCAAGTGTACAACACAGTAACTCAACATTTATATATCTTAGATGTGATCACAGTAAGTCTAGTAACCATCTGTCACCGTGCAAAGTTATTACGATATTACTGACTATATTTTCTGTGCTGTACATCAATAGACAAATGAATTTTTAAAAAAAGCCATGCATGTTTTAATGAATAAAAATAAAAATAAACAAATATATTACTTTTATGGATGCACACCCAGTCAAACAGATGTGTATTCACAGGTGCATAAATCAATCTGAATTCTATTACCTATGAGAAAGTGCTGCCAACAACCAGGTAACTGTGGTAAAAGGAAGCAGCATTGAACTTGCAAACAAAAGACTTAGGCTGAAGTCCCAATTCTGCTACTTTGTCACATTAGTCATGTTACTGAGCCTTTTTAAACATCAGCTTCCTCGCATATAACGTAGGGATATTAAATACATACCTCATAAGGATGTTATTAAACTTATGAATGAGAAAGTATCTATTAAAAGGGTCGATAAACTGTAAAATGGCAAGGTATCATTATTATTACCCTGCATTAATTATAGATGGCATATCGTTCTAGACATTTTCAAAGATGCTCCAAGCTATCCTCGGAAAATGAATTTAAAGAAAGCAAGAAAACTGATTTATGCACTTAAATAGTAGTATCATTTTCCTATAGTTAATTTTCTGACTAAATTACAAGTATGTTAATAATTATGGAAAGTTTAAAATCTAATTTGAAATAATTAGAGGTTAAGAATAATTACTTTTTAGCAAAAGAGACAGGTGATAAAAATATTAAGAGAAACACTAATTATTCAGTATCATGTACTAAAGACCACAAAACTCCCCAAATTAGCCAGTCATATTTTTTTCAGGTAAAAGAATAAGACAATTACTAAAAACTTAAATTCCATCATTAAAAAAAGAAAGAAAACTGAAAAGTTCATCTCTTTAAAAGATTTAACTTGCTAACTGCAAAGCAGCAGTTCAACAGCTAAATATTCATTTTAGGTACTTACAGCATGCCCAAGTATTGCATGTGCTATTTCATGGCCCAGAAGGAAGGAAAGTTGATGAGTATCAGTCACACTATTTAAAAGCCCAGTGAAAACAAACACATGTCCATTCTGCACCATAAAAAAAATAATGTAAGCAATTAGAACTCCATAAAAAACAAGGAGGTTAAAATTAACAATTAGGTTTGAGAATATTTACTTACTGGAAGCACAAAGGCATTTATATCTGGGGACTCAACCACATGAATAACCCAATTGATCTCAGAGATTTCTGGAATATCCTTATTGCATTCAATTAAATGATAAAACACTTTTTTAGTGGACAGGTATCGGGCATCTTTCTCAGTTAACATATAATCTTTAAATTCTTCCATACACTGAAAGATTAAAAAAGAAAATCAGTCTTTATTTTAAAAGAATTTTAGCTCTACAACATGTTTATACTGCTTCATGGAGAATTATACAGCGACTTACTTTTGAACATTTTAATTTTTAATTATGTAAAAATTCGCATATATTAAACAATCAAATTTCTAAGATTTAAATTATTCATGCAAAGGTACATAAATGGAATTAATTCTGAAAACTTAGTTTTTTTCATATAAATTGGTTCACGTAAAAATTTCTTTCATCTCTTCTATTAGCCTATAAACAAATAAAATGCTTAAACATTATTGCTACTTCCTTAAATATTTTAGAAAACAAAACATTGCCTAGGGAACATAAAGATTTCATATAAGAAAGTAAAATACAAAAGAAAATTACTTTCATGACCCACTGAGTAGAAAAACACCCTATACTTCATAAGTTAAACTTCTAAAAAAAAAAAAAAAAACCATTTCATTAATGTTAAGTGTTTTAGTCACACAGACTGAAAGAAAATTACTGAAATTTTAGAACCATTAGGCATATTATTTTCTCTATATAATGCTGATTAAGACTAGCAACCACATAAAGACATTTTTCTAAAACTATATTCATGAGAGACTCTTTCAAGTGTACTAACAGGATGTTCTAAAAAAATTCTCTTAATTTCTATAAAATGTATAATTTCTTTCATATAAATCAATAAGTTTGTAAGTTTCTTCCTTGAGATGCATTAAAAACAGGTGAATTTTTTTTAGGATACAAATTTGTAATAGTCAATTAACATTTTTAAAAAGCACAAGTCACCAATGTAAACTGTCTGAAACAAACAAAACACTATTATATTAACCCTTCTACAATATATAAAAACAAGAAAGATTGTATGGATAATAGTCACCCCTTATCCGTGGGGGATATGTCCCAAGACCCGCTGTGGATGCCTGAAACCGCAGATAGTACCGAGCCCTATATATACTGTTTTTTCCTATACATACATACTTACAGTAAAGTTTAATTTATAAATTAGGCACAGTAAGAGATTAATAATAATAAAATATAACAAAATATCGTATTAGTAACACAAGTTATGTAAATGTGGTCTCTCAAAATATTTTATGTGCCATACTCATGCTTCTTGTGATTTGAGATGTTAAAAATGCCTACGTGATGAGATGAAGTACTCTTAGAAAGGCATGCAATTTAAAACTTATGAATTTTCCATTTAATATTTTTGGACCACAGTTGACAGTGGGTAACCGAAGTCGTGGAAAGTGAACCTAATGATAAGGGGGAACTACCGTAATTGTGGTATTTTATAATAGCCCTAGAAGAACATGTGTTTGAATTTTCATATAGATCAGGTATTGCATTTGTGGGTTAAAAAATAAGAAAAAAAAGAAGCGTCTTAGTGATGTGAATGGTATATGTACTAATTTAACACCAGGCCTGTCTCAATCCTTCCAGAACACTTTTCTCAAACTTGCCTCTGCCAAGACTATATCCTAAGAAACATCTCAAATCTCTGTATAAATCTCCTAGAAAAGACTAGTCTTAAGAACAATCTTTTTAGTGACAAAGCACTGTTCTTTTTTTAATGGTAACTTTCCATTGACAAATTTGGAAGCTCAAGTGGAATAAAGAAATATAAAGATCTAACCATGCCAAAGCGGTCAAGTGAGGCTATGAGACTTCAACAAATGTCGATTGAGCATATACTATGTATGTGCTACGCCCTACAGATAGAAAGATCTGTCCTCAAGGAGCTCACTGGTGGTACAAAATGTTTAACTGCCTGAGTTACACTCTCCAAGGAGTTAAGGCTTCTGAATTACAACTTTACTTTGCATTCAAAAAATATAATAAATTGCCAAAATTGATGTTACAAAAAAAAAAAAAAAACAACTATCTTATTCTATTTTACTTTCAAGGTATAAAAATTCAGACTACAGATCTATTTATTCAAAAAATATATACTAAGAACTACTTTGTGCACTGTATTTTAGATTAAACTAACAAAACCCGACAGGGTCTCTGACCCCATGGAGCTTAGTCTAACAAGGGAGATAGATCAGCAAGTAAATAACTATTGTTACCCTTGTGATAGGTGCTTTGAAGGAAAAATACAGTATGCAAAGAGAAAATAAAAGTAAACTAACCCCAATATAGCTAAGCACTGGGAACAACTGCAAAGGAGCTGATCCAAAATTCAGTCAATATAAAGGATACCTGCCCTGAGCCTAATGTAGTCATCCTGCCTAGGCTGGTTTGGATAATCAAGAAAGGCTTGCATGAAAAAGTGACATTTAAGCTAACATGGAGGAAAGCAATGTAGGTACTAGAAATACTAAGTATGAAAGGTCTGAGACCTTTGGAGAAAAATTACTAATTTCCTGTCAAAGACTAAAATTTAAAAAAAAGGTACATCTTTCATAGTTAAGAAATCTCCCTGCTTTAAGTATTAAGCAATCTGATTAAAAACAATTCTTCCTACTTACTGCTTCATATTCCAGTTCTGATAAAAGACTGAAATGTTCTTTTCCCAATAACAGTAGCTTGCTCCTTCCTGTGATTGGACTCACTTCCAAGTGGGTAAAATAAAACACCATGAAGAGCAACCCCAAACCACTCAAACCGAGGAATAACTTCCACTTATTCTTCTTTATACTTTCTTTAAATAGCTCCTTTTTGTTGGGAGGAAGTGCATGCCACCATTTCCTTATGCCCCTGGAGCAAAAAAAAAAAAATTTCAAAGTTCTCATAACAGGATCAGTATGTATCACCAAAACTCAATGCTTATGCTTGAATTTTATATCATCAAATACTTTAATTTTTTATGACATATCTCTCTGTATGGATTTTTTTTTCAATTTATAAAATTCTTAGATAAATGACAAAAAAGGGAATCAACTATATAGAGCTATAGTTAAAAAGTCTAACATTCATTTGAATTTTCTTCAGTTATTTTAAAGGTAAAAATTAAATGAGGAGCTATTTTACTACAACTACTACTGGTTAACATTTACTGATTGTTTACCACATGGAAAGTATTCTTTTAATCATTGTACATATGTCATCTCATTGAATCTTCATAATAATCCTGTTATAGAAGAGAAAATGGGACACAGAGAAATTAAGCAACTTGTCCAAGGTCACAGAGGTACTTAAGGAAAACCAGGCAAAGTGATGCCAGAGTCTGAGCACTTAACCACTTAAGAGGGGATGAATTACCTGAATAAACATTTGAGGGTTTATGATACAATAAATCTATACCTTTAACCAACTTTCTCCCTACTGCTCGTCAGACTTCCAACACAATCTACCAGTGCTTCAGCAAGGTACAAGGCGACCTATCTCATGATTGATTTTAGAAATATTTTTCAGTAGCAGAAACCCCATCCCCTCCAAAACATGACAAAGGAGAGGTAATAAGAAGAGCATAGGCAAAGAAAATAAGAAAATGAGGATTTTACAAACAGCATCGCAGGAGCTACCAGACAACCCTCTCTGCTGCTTATTAGGGTCCAGAGACATTTTGATAACAAGCGGTGTTTTCAAGACTAGAACAAAAATTTTTCCTTGTGAGTTTATCTGTGAAATCACAACAAAAATTTTAAATATAAACATTCTCTTGACGAAATTTATTTTATAAAATAACTTCTCTATCTTAATTTTGATGTCTGTCACACTTAAAATGCCTCTAAAGTGTTTCAACCCAAAAACATTAAACCGACCTATGATGTATATTTCCTATTTAAAACTTTATATGACTTGTTACTATTTGTTTAAAATGTATGAAAACATACTTTTTTAAAAAATTAGGTGACTGACAATAACAATAAAAACGTTAAAAATAAATAATTTAAAAGGATGAAAAGGAGCTACTGGTCCAAGAATCTGAGCTGATTTGTGACACAGATTCTCTCATCCGCCAAACTCTACTCTTGGTCCCCTGAACAATTTAACTAGGCTTTGACTGTCAGACTTCCTGTTCATCTCTGCATTGTCTTTTAGCAAGAATTCTGCTAAGTCTGTTTAGCCACAATCCCCCATCCTCCATATCTGATCACCAACAAGGTTCCTCAGCCTTCACCAGCCCCTAGATGATACCTGATCAGCCTCATCTGCCTTTAACAAGAATCCTGTTTGGTCTGTTTAGGCAGCACCCCGCCTTACTCCCAATGTTCCCCTAATTTTCCATCCACCAATCCCTACCCTGCTCCTTGGCTATAAATTCCTACTTACCTATGTTGTAATCAGTACTGATTCTGGTCTACACTGAAAAAATATTAATTATTATAAAGGACTACCAGGAGCAAATAATAGGTTTGTTGAAAACAGAATAGAAAAATAAATATTAATGGTTTAAGAGTTAACTTGGCTAGGAGTCAGCTCATTTTTAAATAAGCAGAGTCATTCAATTTCATGATCTGTTGCTTCAAATTCCATATTTAGTTAAGGAATGTTTGTGAGTACTGTTGTTATATATGAGTTATAATCCACATTTCTGATTCTTTTGTCATCACACATACAAGGTCAATCTTTTAAAAAGTGTCTATGCAAGATACATAATTTTTTAAAGATTCTATTTCTGTAAGTTAACATGCAGTAAATTATTTCAAGATTATTAAATCATACATAACAAAACTGGGGAAACAAACTGTTTAGAAACTTAATTTTGAGCTAAATACGGGAGGGAAATCTAACAAATTTTCTTTCAGAGTGTAGTTTTACAAATATCCTTTAATACAAAAGTACATTTTTAAAAAAACATTTTACCTGCCTATAATGATTGCAAGTAGTTTCTGCACTGGTTTAAGAATTATCAACAAGAGAGGAACAGGAGCAGCTTGAAACTGTGGAGAAGTGTGGAAAGTCCTGATGTTTCTTATGGGAAAACAGTTTTGAGGACCCAATAGTGAAAGAGTAGGAACTACTGCAATTTCTTTTAACAGTTGCTGTCTTGAAAAAGAGTCATTCCACGCAGTACATTTTCGGGTAATCATCCAAATTTCCTTACTTTTGATACTCAAGAGGCATCCTGTTCTTTTGTTATTAAAAGTTCTACAGAAATGAAAGTTTCCAGGCAGAGAAGTCAATCTATCCCATTGATTTACTCCCAGGCCCCGATGCTTATTTACTACATGGTTAATTTGTACTTGATGATAGTTCAGTGAGTTTGCAGCTACTGTGTTACATTTTCTCCAGTTGGTCAGTAAATTAAATCGGAAGAAAATACGGTTTCTAGTAGCAGACTGCAATCCATAGATGAAGCTCATCTTTCTTTTGCTTGATTATCTGAAACACAAAAATTCAACTATAAGTATCTCTGGAAAATATTTACCAACCTGGGAATATAACACTTATGAAATAGGTATGTCAGTTAGTCTTACTTTAACACATCTCACACTAAATTACCTTGGATTTCTATTCACCATCCCATACAGTAATGCCTTTGAGCAATACAAACCAAAGACAGCATTACAAATGACAGCATTAGTAGATTTGAATATTACTCACTTTTTTTTTACTCTTCAACACGAACTTTATAAATTTGTTTTTTTTCTTTTCATTTTTTATTTTTATTTGGGGGAAGTTTATTTCTATTTTAACTGCTAAAATATTTGGAGAATAAGAAATAGATTACATAAAAATAGCAGTAAATTTTTATCAATTGGCGTTAACAGGGGAAAGAAGCATGTAATGAAATAGTAAAACCTAACTTATAAGATGTATTTTTTAAAATATGAATTTATTCCTTTCAGATATAACCCTGGCACTTCTGATTCGGGTCAAGATGTACTCCATGAGACCAGACTTATCCTCCCAACTAGAAAAACTAAAGAAACAGACAGAATAAGCAAAACAATGGTTTCAACACACTGGACATTAGGCAATGAAGGACAGTGATTCTGAGAGATGGGAAACAAGTAAGGTGAGCCACACAATACGCAGAGAGGGAAAACCTAGGTGCATCCCAACAGTCCCTCTAAACTGAAGAGGTGAGGCTGGCAGTTCAAGTAGGCCACAGAAGCTGTAGCTCACAGAGCAGAGTACACGAGCTGCACAGAGAACGAACTCCAGACATCTGCAGAGAAGCTCCCTCTTGTACCCAGCTGAGTCCTGATCAGGGTATAGTCTGAGAAAAGTCCCTGGAGTTGGGCAAGAACCACCTAAAAGAATAAGAGGAACAATGTAATATGCAGAGCTCACACAGAGTAGAGTGCCTGTTCCATCCTTTGAAGTGGAAAACCTTATAATCACGGGGCACTGGGTAAAGTACTCAGAAGGGTTTTGCCTCAATATTACAGAAAAATTGGTCCTAGACTAAAGGCTGCTCTGACCCTACCTAACAAAGATTAAAAGCAACAAAACTCAAAAAGATCAAACTGTTTCTAAGTAACTTAACAACATACCAGAAAAAAAAAGCTCAAAAACATTTACAAGGATACAAAAATATCCAGCACTTAACAAGGTACAATTTATAATTTAAAAATTACCAGGCATGCAAGAAGCAGGATATGTGATCCATAAATAGGAGAAACCTCAATCAACAGAAACTAATTCCTAAATAATACAAATGACAGCATTAGTAGATTTGGATATTAAAGCACTTATTATAACTATATTCCATTTGTTTAAGAAGTTAAAGGAAATTTTTAGCATGTTGTGCTGAGACATAGAATATTTTTAAAGGCCTACACTGAACTTCTAGACAAGAAAATTCTGTTAGATGAAAAATACAATGGATGAGACTAACAGCAGATTAGACATTGTAGAAATAAAGACTTGTAAAATTGACCTACCTATAGAAACCAACCCAAATGAAATGCAGAGAAACATGAAAAAGATGAAATATGAAAGACTGAAAAATATGCATAGAGCATCAGTGAGGTGTGGAATAACTTTAAGGGGCCTAATATATGTGTAACTGAGTCCCAGAAAAGGGAGGAAGGCTGCGAGACAAAAAATACTTGAAAAAATGGCCAAAATTTTTCAAATCTGATGAAAACTGTAAACTCACAAATCCAAGAAATTTAACAAACCACACACATAATACAAAGGAAACAACTCCAAGGTATATCATAATCAAATTTCTTAAAACCAATGAAAGATAAAATCTTAAATTTGACATCTTAGATGAAATGGACACATTCCTTGTAAAATACAAACTATCAAAGCTCACTCAAGAAGAATTAGATAATGAAGAGTCCTATATCTATTTTTTAAATTGATCTTTTTTTTTTTTTTGTAATTAATATTTCCTAAAAGAAAGCCCCAAACCCAAATAGCTTCACTGGAGAATTTTACCAAACAGTTAAAGAAAAATTAATAATAATTTTATACAAACACTTACAGAAAATTAAAGAGTTTGCAACTCACTCTGTAAGACCAGTACTATCCTGATACCAAAGCCAGAAAAAAACATTACTAGAAGACTCTAGAGTAATAACTTTCATGAAAATTGATACAAAAATTCCTAACAATATTTTAGAAAAATCTAATTCAACAATACCTAAAAAGGACAATACATCATGACCAACTGAGGTTTGTCTCAGGAATGTAATGTTGATTAAACATAAACCAACCAACTCTCCCCAAAGAGTACATATTCTGTGATTCTAGCCTATAATATAAACTGTAGACGATGCAAACTAATTTACAGCTACAGAGAGATAAGTGATTGCCTAAGGATGGAGAGGTAAAGAGGGACAAGGGGAGGGAATACCAAGTTTTGGGGGTAATGAATATATTCTGTATCTTGACTGATGTTGGTTTCACAGGTTTACAGGTTAAGTCAAAACTTATACTATGCGGAATAAATATGCAGAATTTATTGTATATCAGTTATACACCAATTAAGATATTTTTTAAAAGATACTGAAAAGAGACAGTAAGAAAAGGTAATGTGTGAACTTTGATTAGATCCTAGATTGAAAAAAAAGTGAGCTTTAGAAGAAAACTGGGACAACTGGGGGAATTTGAATATGGATTTACTTTTAGGTTATTTTAGGTAATTATTGCTTATTTTCTTAGGTGACAATGATATTTTAGTTATATAAGTGGTTTTCTTATACCTGAAATACTTGCTGAAGTGTCTCTTCATGATAAATAACTTACTTTTAATTGTATAGCAAAGGTACAAATGTACACACGCACAAAGACAATGTTGATACAGTAAAATATGACTAATCATTGTATCTAATGATTATGTGTTCATTAATTTTTTTCAATTTTTCTATTTCAAAATCTTCATAAGTTGAATATGTAAATCTAACTCAATATAAGCTAATATATTACCTAGAAAGATGCTTCAGAACACCAGTTTTGATAAATAGTATCATCTATATATCCAACTTAGTTTGAAAATAATTCAAAATTTTTTATGTAGTTTATATGTTCCGCCCACGCATTATGAACGTATAATGTGGGTAATGGGTGTGCTAAGTAAACGTTAACTCCACTTTGACCTTTTTTGATTGCTACCAATTTTAAATCAGTAGAGTCTGGGATGACATATAATAGTTTGGCATTATTAATAATATACTTTCCAGGTTTCTTTTCAAAACAAGCTGAAAAGTAGTAAAATAATTTAAGCCTGGAAATCATTTCAAAATTAGTACTGAGTAGCTAGTAAGGTTCTTCATTGGCTAGGAGGCATGTGAGTTACGGATGCAGCATAAAACTCAGTCCCTGCCCTCTTGGAGGTTGTAATATAATTGAGGAAAAAAAATAATACAGTTCCTCACTAAATGCTATAGACTGCATGGATTTTAAAAATAAGTAAATAAATAAGGATATCCATTAGTAGCAGAATAGACCAGGAAGGCAACTATTTTTTATGCCTTTTGACATATGCAAAATAAAACAAAAAATAAATGTAAAGGAATTGTTTCAAATGGGAAAATGTACTTAAGGTTTAAATATAAAATGTCTTCTACTAGAAGTCAAACTATAAAAACAACAGAAACCCACGTTCTTTCCTTTACTCTAGTAGATAAGCTTCAGAAACTTGCCTAGCCATACTTTTTTTCTCAACTGCATCCTACAACCTCAATTTAAGGGATAAGTCTAGACTGCCATGTTTGTCTCTAGTGATCCCTGCCACTGACCAGAGCTAGGAGCGGCTATCCAACACTGAAAAGATTTTTGATAAGACATTATCAGGCACAGGAATGTAAGGGCATGTATAAACTGGGAATGTAGCTAGTGCTATGGCAACACAAAGAACTGCAAATGAAAACCAAGAGTAGGCATCTTGCAAAAGTGGTTCTACAAAAAGGACAATGCAATTAATGTGTGGAAAGTGAGAAACCATAAAGCCAGAGAAAGAGGAGGGAGGGGGGAGAGGAAGAGTCACGCTTTCCTGGTTCCCAAGAGACCTTGTACTTCATACATTTAATTGAGCTTCATGAGCTTTTAGTTTTTTCCAAAAATAATTCTTTCTCTTCAAATAGATTCTGTACCTTGCAAATAATTTTTTGCTGACTTAAGAGGTTACATGGTAAAAAATTTACATACTTGTTTCATATACAAGCTGTTAACATTTTAATATATACATGTTGTTAATTGGAACTGAGAGTTCCTTTTATATTTTGCAAAGCTAAATTCTCAATTTTCAGCACTAAGAACAAAAGCAATATTAAATGCAAATCAGACAACAAAATCCTACTCCCACAACTCACATACAAAGTCCTACATTCCAAATTACCATGCAGCCACTTAAAAGCTGAAGATTTCTGTAATAAAAGATCTGCAATTTTAAAAAAATAATAAATGCTACTTGCAAAAATTCTGTATATCAGGGATGGCAAACAAATGTGCAAAGCAGCACTGCACAACAGAACTTTCTGCAATGACGGAAATGTTATGAGTTTCCTATATGGTAGCTCCTCCATGTGGCTACTGAGCAACTAAATTTTTAATTAACTTAATTCTAATTAATTTAAGACTAAAAGGCAAGAGGAAAAAAAAAGGGCATAGAGATTATAGAGGTTCTGTTCATCCCTCTGGCAACCAAATCAAAGTTGTGACAGAAAAAAGGAGCAACAGCAAGGAAAAATCGCCTGGGATCTAGAGGAACGAGCCATACAACTAAGGAGAAATCCAAGAAACCACCCTGCAATGGCAGAAGGTAGGACGGGGCGAGGACGCGGGGCTGCCCGGTCTCGAGCAACTGAGACGGAGGCTGCGACAGCAGCAGACGCCTCTTAAAGGGGCCCATCAGTGAGCGGATTTTCGCAGTGACAGACTTGCTCACTCTGAGCACCAGTGCCGATTCAGCTGTGCACAGGGGGCACCAGGGACTTACAGGGAGACATCGTCAGAGTGAAGGCCGAGGTGAGACTCGTTCTGTACAGGAGTGCCAGCAGTATCAATTGTTCCCTGTTGAGCCCTCCCCTCTCCCAGTGTGCAGACATAGCGCCGCCATAGCCGTGATGTCATCAAACTGGATAACAGAGGTCATTTCGCCCAGAGGATTCCCTGAAACCCACCTCCCCCAACTTGCAGCCCTACCCAAGCAACATCCAGGTATATCCTCAATGAGTCAGGTACTCCTTGCTGAGCAGCACCTAGACTCACACTGGAGCCAGCTGGCCTTGGTTTCTGCTGAGTCTTTTTGAGACAACTATAAGCAAAGCATCTGTGGATTGCTTACTGAATCTTAACAGGTGGCCCAGGAGGAGTAGAGGCTGGGGC